GGCTGCTTGCGTAGAAAGTAATCCTCAAGAGAGACTAGACATGAGGGAAGCTATTAGTAGGATAGAGGAATTACAACCGTGAGGTATGCCAATTGCTAATTATGATGTTTAGGCTAACAAAACAAAAAAGATAGGACTGGGTGCCAACTGCACCTCATTGCCATGCTTCAAAGACTCCCTCGGGATCCACTCCTACCCAATGCTCTTCTTCATGAAAACATATGATCTGATCTCATAAGGATGCTTGGGAGAGGATATTTTTGGCGAATACGGAAATCATGATTCAACTTTTAATTTTCTCTTTGCCCACTCCATGGCTGCCTGAAGTGAGTGAACTGTAATTGTGCATGGCATTTTTGTTTCTTTCACTAAGAAGTCTTTCTCTTTTTTGCTCCCCCCCCTAAATTAGGAACAAAGCAAGAAACAGGAATATAATCATTTAGTGTCTTTTTTTTTTTTTTTTACTTTTTCTCTGTTGCCTTATGAAGAAAGAAAGCAGGATGTCGACTGGGAAACAGAATGATGTTAATATGAAATATGGTTTGTGTGATCCTCTCAAAATTGAGTGCGGGGCTGGGATCTACCTGCCATCTCTTTAAATGAAAAACTCTTCAGATACTGATTTGTAAAAGGCCTTGGAACTTGTGAGGAGTCACCTCAGGAAATGTAAAATTTCAGACTCTCTTCACTTCCTGTATTTGTATAAGTTTGTTTTTGTTTAAATTTCAAATGTACACAGATGAAAATAAATTTCTTTTTCTAAAGTTTCTCTGATTCATATACACAGAAAATGCAAACAGTGCACATGGCATGAGTTTATAGCACGTTTATTTCTAGTACCTAATCGAAGGTGTTTGAAGAGCTTGTTTATTAATCGCTCATGACTGGGTTTAATGAATTCAGTTCACAACATAACATGAAATATGTTTTGTGTAACTATTGAAGTCGTCATGATATGTTTCATTTTTTTATTAAATTAATCTATTTTTTATGTCAAAATAAATAAATAAATTTGATATTGATTTAGAATTTAAGTTAAATAGTATATGAAGTTGAAAATTTGTAATTTTATTGATCTAAATAACTAAGAAAAAGTTGTCAAATTTTACAAATATACACTTAAGAACCTAATAGTTTATTTCTTTGAATTAATTACTTCAATTTTAATAGCATTCAATTAATAATTCATACATAAGTCAACAAAAATAAATATATGACATGTTATTTCATTAGTCAAATTGGTTTTAATATTAATATAAAATATTTTTATCTTATTTTTAGTTATACCAAAGAACTTAAAAAAACTAATATGTTTATTTATATTTAAACATATAAATTAAAAATTGACACAGTTTTTACATTTAAACATATAAATTAATTGGCTTAAATTGTTTAACTATCAGTAAATATAAGATAAACTATTTTTATTTTAGCATATTTTTAATATTAATTTTATTTCCATTGAATATGTGAGATGTTGACATTTTTCATTTTTATTTTTATTTTTTTAAAGCTGTATACTATCTAGTAGAAAAACTATTAAACAACTAAGTAAAGCTTTTAATTTATTGTAGTTGAAAACATTAACTACTCACTTACAAAACAAAATATTATATTCTTAATTGCATTTTATGCAGCAGTTTGCCCTTCAAAAGGGTTTAAATTGGTCTATATTCATATATTTTTTAATCTATATATCAAATGTTATTTCACGTTTAACATTTGAACTAATAAAAAAATATTATATATTAATAAGTTTGACATTATAATATTTTATGTTAATATTATTAATAACATGAACCAAATCAAAAATTTTATATCAAAAATTAAAGTAGAGATTAATTTGAGTAAAATAAATAATACAGAAACCTAATCATTCATAATACAGAAACCTAATCATTCTTTTAACTTATATATTTACCTAAATTCTTCTATATATTTACCTAAATTCTTCTACATATAATAGAGAAGTTATGATGCGGAACTCCAGGACCTTTGCTTGAACTTTAAAACTATTCAATCGGTTTAAAACATAATTTAGATCACAAGTAAAAATGAATCAAATTTGTTCAATCACCCAAATGATATAAGTCAAATAAAACCTAAGAAAGATAAATGATATCTTTTGACCCCAATCCAAACAAGCACCAAGAACAATTGAAATATGAAATCAAAATTGAATCCAAGTGATAACAATTGTATTTCAAATCAACACCTTGTGCACAAAGTGAAAAGAAAGCCAAAACGCTCTTAACCCAATTCTAAAATATTTGATTACAACTCTTGATGTCCACAAAGAATAGTTCATTTGGTATTTATAGCCAAAGAAATCAATGATAAGTTCCAACACAATAACTACAATTGTAACTCCCACAATAACTAGGTTAATTATGTGATAATTACAATTGTAACTCTAACAATAACTAGGTTAATTATAGGCTCATTCTTGTAATAACATTAAGACAAGACTTAGGCCCAAATGAGTTACACTTGACTATATGAGTTTGATTAACTCAAAATAAAATAAAACAATCCAAAATACTTAAAACAACTCAACTAATCCAGCCCATATACAAGACTTATTCACCCATTACCAATAAAACTCAAATAAAGCCAACTTATCTCAAATCATTTAAACCCAATTAAAGTTACAAATTTGGGCTGTTCAAAAAGCTCATATTTGAACTTTCCACAATTGGCCAGCCCATCATCCACATGTTTTTGAGTGAAAACTTGGAGCAACACTTTTAACCTTCTTTACCTTTGATCTTATTACTGGTCCGCTAAAACTTTTCAGGTTTGGAACTCTATTTGTATTCACGTCATTTGAAATTTGTTCCAAGTCACTTTTTGATGTTCTTTGAGTATCTTGAGTGTTTTTAGCCTTATTTGCAACAT